GGGGGGGGGGGGAACTAGATCATGTTCATCAAGGGATAAGAGTTTGATGGAGTTGAGTGATGACTATTCCTTAGGTTACTTAGAACACTTTTCTGCAGATCTGAAATACTTCATAAGGAAAACCAAAACTTGCTCTTCCTAAAATTTGTACCTTTTGGGGAAGCTATGATATTTACAAGGCTCGCATTGCTATTATAAAACTTTCCTTTAAAAAATTATAATTTGTATTGGTTATTGCTGATATGAAGGAACAATATTGATTTTGATAATCTTTTTAGTAATTTTGCCACATTCTTGTGAATTCTAATAGTTTGTTAATTCATAGGGTCACTTACGTAGAAAATCGTTACTATTTTATCATCTGAAAATAAATTTTGACTCTTTCCTTCTAATCTGTGTAACTCCTACTGCCATTTTGCACCCTGCTGTGTGGGCAGGGGACCTGCAATATGCTGCTGAGCCGTGTTGATAGAGGCCACCCTTGGTCCCTTTTTAACATGAGAATAAGCTCTCTAAGGTTTCTCCCTTAAGTATACTGACTGTGGATTTCTTGGTAGAGAGCCTTCATCAAGTTAAAGAGTGGTTTTGTATTCCTGGTTTTCTTAGAGTTTTTCAAATAATACCTGGGGTTTAAGCTTTATCAAATACCTCTTTTCACGTTTTGAGATAAGCGTTGTGATTTTTCTGTCTGTCCATGGATGTGGTCATCCCACGTCAGATCTTCTGATGTTAGACTATCATTGCCTGTCAGAGGTGAACTCTATGTGATAACAGTGTAGCCCGTTGTTGAGGTGTTTCACAATCACATACACATTCTTTAACCTGCGCAGGACCCTCTGGGCTGAGCTGCCACCATCTACCCGCCCCTCCCCTGCCCTGCTTTGCAAACTTTAGCGTTTAAACTAAACACTTCAGTGTTGACTTGTTCAAGTGCAAGTTCTGATTCACAGGTATAAGGAGGACTCTACTCTAGTTAGGGCTTTAGATCACAGATGTCACCGGCAGACCTGAACTTCAAATCTCGAACTCCTGAGAGGCTTTGGTCGTCTCTGTACTGACTTTTATGCCAGATTGCAAGTCACTAGCCTGTGAGTGTCTGGTGACCCTTGAAAATGACCTCAGGGCTGATCATGTGGCCAGCAGGACCTGGTATGGTTCACAGCCCTTTGGCTTGGTTATTATGAGTTCAAATCCTAGCTCAGCCAGAAGCAAGTTACTTAATTTTTCTGAATCTTAGTCTCCTCATGTGAAGAAGAGATCAAAATGCCTATTCTATAGGATTATTGTGTGGTTTACATGGATTGATATGTGTAATATGATACTGGAACCCAATCCCAAAGTAGGTACATGGGTTTTCCTGACACCAGC